GCAAATCATTTGCTGATCAAATTGCAAATCTGCACATCGTCATCACTTCGCCGGTAGGGTGAAGTTCAACGATAGCGTTCCAGGAGTGTGAACGCATGCTAGTCGTTGGCTAAAGGCATCTGTCATTATCATAGCTGAAATAGCAATGCTATTCACCAACTTTGGAGTAAATTTCATCCAGATCACGTTTTTAAGTACTGTTTGGACAATGTGTTATTAGCTCATTAGGGTTAGGATTAGAGCTAAGGTAGGTATTGGGGTCAGGGTTAGGATCAGGGTTATAATTAGCATTAGAGTTGGAATTACGGTTTGGATAAGGGTTATCATTAGGGTCAGTGTTAGGGTCAGGATTAAGCTTATGGTTAAGATTAGGGATAGATTTATAGTTGATGTCATTTATTTTAATTTGTTTTTATTATCCACGTTTTCCTGGTAAGTAGTCGCGTCTATCCTCTTGCTGGAAACCATAACAGTTCAACCGAGGGCTTTTCTGAAAAACTGCAGGCAGTTTATCTGTAGTCATCTCGGTGAATACATGTACAGAGACTGGTCTAACTTAGCAACTGATACTCCTCGTTATAACCAGGACGTATTTTTAAGCTATGTCAGAGAAAGATAACCTGTTTGATGCACTCTTTAAGCGTTTTCTTGTCAGTATACATAATTTTTTGAGCAAACATTCCTCATTTTTACGATTGGTCAGCTGAAGGTCACTCGTGCGTTCGCACACCTGGGACGCTATTGCTGAAATTTACCAATCATAGAATGGCAGTCAAATCTCACTCTATCTCAATTTTATAGACTTCGAATAGGCCTTTGACAGACAGCTTTGTCTGAGAAGTTATTTAAAAGCTTCTTCAATACTATGGAGTGCCGTGCCCAAAAATATCTATCAAACTCATTCACTCACAGCTGGCCACTTGACAATGGCACGTGTCAGGTGATCCATCATGAGAGCCTCAGCAAAGCCTGGCATTGGAGTCTGTGAATACAGCAGTAAGACAAGATGTCTGGTCAGTTGCCTGTTATCACCAACGACGATATTCCTAATTGTCTGGTGCACCAGGTCACGCGCGTCAGACTGTGCGTTGTCAGTGAGTAAATGAGAAGACAGGAATACGCTGCACCGACCAATGAGAAGACTGTAAGAGATCTATACTTGGCGTGTGAATGGTTTATACCGATGAATTTCATATAAACAGAAACACAAAATGGAAGAATTTCAGGCAGGCAGGCGATAACTGGCAACAAACCGGTTGAAGAGCCTGGCTGGCTGCGTAGTTGTCAGCGAATACAGAACTTACTCCATTCAGGTCATGAAGATAACGAGATAACCAACCAAACACCAACAGAAACAGAAAACCACCACTACCAACAAAATCAACGATCAGAAATCGCCATTAGTGGGAGAACGAGGTTGAAAGAGGTCACTTCCTTCCTTTTTATTATCCAGCCTAGGCAGCAGCACACATACGCAGTCGGATCGGATGCAGTTGTGAGAACCAACCAGTCAAAATACTAAAGGCAAGATACGCACTCCCTCACCAACCTAAAATCAGTTTGAAAATCGTCTGCGCTCTACCTCAGTATGAAGAACAATTTTAAGATATCCAGTGCAAATGTTAGTGGAGTCAGTCAGTTAGCGAGTGTTTCTATATGGGTCAGAAAATTGCACTTTGTATGCCTCACGAAAAGCATTTCCAAAAGCCACTTGCAGATTGTTATCAATAGCTGCCAACTTCGATGACTGTCTCCATACTGAGGATTAAATGGCCAGGCGACCAGCTAGCCGGCCAGAAAGAATTAGCAACACATGGAACTCTAGCTGGCGATGAGCGAACCAACAGAGTCGGTCGCCTAACAAATATGTAGGAGAAAATGGAAATAGACTGATTGGAGATACGTTGATGAAGACTTAGGCTATCAGACAACATCGCACACAATTCATGCCATCGGTCGAGTAAGAGGTGACATGAAGAAGATGGTGTGGGTTGGAGGGAGAAAGAGATGACAGATTATGAGGAATCGTGGGGGCTAGCCAGGTGAAGGGGACAGTAGAAAATAGAAGGGAGTGGAGATGTGTTTTTGAAGCCATGTGTTCCACTGGGAACCTAAAGGAATAATAAATAAGTATGATGTTTTGCTCGGTATGGACAAGAGCATGATTCCATGCTGGTGTTTCCCAAGGCCTAAGTCTCTCTTCTTTGAAAGTTTGACAAGGCAGCTTTTCTTCCAGTCAGCGGGTACCTTCCTTTCAAACTTTCTGCCATAATGGTGTGAACAGTATACTTACTAACGTCTCTGGATTCGTTTTCTGTGCTTCTGCGTGAAAATTACGACTTGACTTGCTGCTCTCCTGACTGGTTTTTAGTAACTATATTTATCGGATTCAAGACTTCTACTTTCGTTGGATTACTAATATTCCTCATCCGTGTTTTATGTCTGTTGTTGCGCGTCGATTAAAGAGTTCTTTGAAATGGACAACCCGGAATTTCCTTTGTTCCTCACTCCCCAAAGTAATTAGGTTACCCTCACTACTTTTCATCATTTCTAGTTTGCGTTGATCCTTTGCACTGCTAGGCAGAATATTCATGCCCACTTCGTAAACCTGAAGGTCTTAAGTTCGATCCTAGGGTGTGTTGGAGTGATGAGGGGCGTACTGCTGTAGTTAACCAAACTAAGACGATTAAAATAGCTATCCAGTACAACCCCACCGGTTTCCAATGGTTCCTAAAATGACATCGATCCGCGATCAACCCTGAAGTAAGTCAAAGCTCTACAAACGAACACCTGAATATGAATTCTATGCAGTTTTTGCCTGTCTGTTTATAGAGTAATGTGTGGTGAATATTTGTCCCAAACTGTGTTTCTGACATCACTTACTAGACCAGTGCTGTGTATGCAACTAAATAGAAAGACCTGAAAATTTGATTTCATTTATTCGCAGTTTTATTGTATTTTCTTTCGTAAGCTGATCAGCTTTCCCAGGCAGCTATCCAGCCACCTTCGAAATATTGTATAGGGACAAGGGATGTCGCCATGCTCACTTTTGCTTACATTGGAAAAAGACACATTGGCTGACTGACTTCCCGACGTCTTTCATTAGTCTCTTTGTCTCCGTTTCCGTCAAAGAATAACCCTATTCACAGGCTTAGTCCAACGGCCAACCCTCCCCTTTTCCATTTTCTTAGGACCGGACATTAAACAAACAACGAAAAGTTGGTTCTACTGCATACTCATAGAATTTTAACTGCTTAGGAATACAATTCCCTCATTTTCAATGTTACAAACCTCCATTTTGGATAGGAAAGAAGATCCGAAGTGATTACATTACTGTTGTTCCCTTGGAATGCTAGTAGAACATAGAGTTTCAACTGCACGTCTCCACCTGCTTCCGTCTTCTCCTGTACTCTTCACCTGCATCCATCTTAGTCCACACCATTCCAACTCCCTTACACAAGATCTCCTCTATGTCACCCTTGCACTGACGACCCACTCGCCGCCTGCTTCCCTTTCGGTTGGGTTCCACTCGAGCGATGGCCTGACGCGCGCGCGAGCGCGATGTCACCCAGCGGCGGCCTCATCAGCGAGCCAGTGTCCAATCCATCTCAATCCACTTCCTCCTGCATACTTGCTGTTGTTGGGCGATTGCTTCTTGTTTTGTTTGTTTGTTTGATTGTTTGTTCCCACAGTTTCTTGTTGTTGGTGATTCTTTCCGCCCCCCACCCCACCTCACCCGGCCATCTCATCTTCAGTATAGATCCAGCGAAGACAGGTAGGTAGTTGTTGATAAAGGTAACGTCTGAAACAGGCTGTTGGTGGAAATAGTCGTTGTGACCTACCCGCCAACCTTCTGATCCCTTCTATGCAGAAGAACTGACTGACTTGACGTGTTTGTATTGAAAATCCGACCGACGGAATTTTCTTGTTGATGTTGGCTGAATGACGAAGATTGGTTTCCAGATTGGTTGTTTCAGGTTGATGAGTGAATGTGTTTCCCGCCGCCCTCCCCGATTCTCGCTCGATTTGACATCGTCGTCCGTTCCGACTTCCTGTAGTTGAGACAATGCTCCTTCCCTAGATAAGTGAATGAATGAAGTAACCTCTTTCAAATCCCTCCCGTTGATGGTGATTGGCGCCGGATGTTTCTGTTGCTGTTGTTGTTGTTGGTTGATTGGTTGGTTGGTTATTTTCATAAACTGCATCTTGTTCACCTATGTTCACCTGGAGTCCTGTTTTCGCCGGCTTCTTCATCGACCATTTTGTCGGTTTTCGCTTGATAGGTGAAGTCTTCGATTTTGTGTGTGTGACATCAAAAATGAATCATCCACGCGCGAAATCCACGTCTTCTAGGTTCTTCACGTCGGTCGGTCCAGGATATCCCTCCCTGTCTTCTCGTTTCCCTGTCACTGTCTGACGCATAACCCAGTCAGTCGACCACAATTAGGAATATCATTCATTGGTGATAATAAGCGAGCACCCTTGTCTGACTCCTGTGTTTCCTCCAAACGCCTCGCTGAGTTTTCCGTTCTGGATTACTTGACATGTTCCGTTGTCGTCCATCTGTTGAATAAGGTTTTGTGAATATTTGGGGTACACCGTAGTACTCGAGTAGTTTCTAAATTACTTCGCGGTCAACGGTGTCTGTCGAAGGGCTTCTCAAAGTCTATGAAGTTGAGGTAGAGGTTTGATTACCATGTCATGCTTTATTCTGTGACGATGGTGCGTGGAGTTGCAATTTGGCCAGAACATGATTTGTCTTTCCTGACTCCAGCTTGTTGTGGTTGGGGTTCTGTATCCAGTGCGTCTTTTATTCTCCTCAGGATAACGCGACTCAGAATTTTACTTGGCGTCGACAGGAGCATGACTTTTCGCCATTTGTTGCAGATTCCTAAGCTTCCAGAAGTTAGCACAGTACTAATTTCTGATTTAGTTACTAAAAGATTTTTTTCTTTTGGAGCCATGCTTAACACCAGTCTTGTTTTATTCTTCTTTTTCAGCTCCATCCAGTAGTCCGTTACACGTTCGTCTGAGCGGTTTATCATCCAGTTCAGTTGAAGTCAGCTGGGCACCACCGCCTCTACAATATCGTAATGGAAAATTGACAGGATATGAGGTCAGGTTTTTCGAGGTGGGTGCTGAGACACAGACTGAGACGAATATCAAAGTCACAGTGCCTGGTCAACGACAATATACAGCAAGAGGATTGAAAGAGAAGACATTCTACACATTTATGGTCCGTGCTTTCACGTCTGCTGGTCCCGGTCCTTGGTCTGGTGCCAGTAATATACGTACAAGTGTAGAATGTAAGAATATTTGCATTATATAAATAAGCGAACAACATCTTGTTATTTTGTTCAAAATTTTGAATTATAAATCAATTATTTTTCTTCATTTACTGAGCGGTTAATGGGATCCGGAATTCAACATGCCTATTTAATTCAATTTTAGATTTACCCGTCAGTTGACTGAACCGAAGTGCTCGGTCTTAGGTTGACATTTCGGATGCTTCGACGATGTCTGATCAGTGTACTGAGACCGAGCACTTCAGTCCAATCAGTCGACGGAAAAATCCAAAATTGAATTAAATAATTAATAGAAGACCTGTTGCACAAGAAAAAGGGGGCTGTCGTAGCCCAAGTGGTCTAGTGGATAACACTTTGTCTGGCATTGGAAACTGTGGTCACTGAGTTCGAAACTCAGTGGGAACACCATCACTTACTCAGTTGCTTGGAGAAAGAAGAATGCAGACATGTCCAGATGACGAGTCCTAAACAGGACGAAATGCGCATCCTGGTGCGTTCCACTGCTAGTCACCATCACCACCAAGTGACTCAACACGCTTATCTTCAGTTCCACTGTTTTCATGACATCGGTATATATTTTTTCTATAATAACGAATGTCAGTAAGAAGTATTTGAATAACTGAAATTAGGCTGACTTATGGCTCAATCCGTCTTTTAGAAAAGTCATCCACAACTTACAGGAAGGTTGTAAAAACCAAAAAAAAAGTTGCAGAATACGAAATTAGGTGTTTTTTGTAAGTGAAAAGCGTAGACGACTTACTCCACCTACCTGAGTGTAATGCAAATATTTCAGTCTACTGTGGCAATCAGGCTTTACAACACACTCATTTTAAGGATTAGCCAAGCTATCAATTTTTGTATAAAAAAGAACTTCAGCGGTGATTTAAAAGGTAACTAACTGGTCGAATATCGAACAAAAGTAAGAAGAGACAGTACGGTGGAGGGTTTCTTTTGGGCGGTGAATTCATCCACTTATTTTGTATGTATGCGTGTGTATACACTGGGTATTGTTTACCTCATCAGAATATTTCAGAATATGCGCTGAATAATCAAAATTGTAATCACGGTGGTGGTGGTGGTGGTGGTGGTGGAGATGAAGATTAATAAGTTCATTACTGAAGCTTCAGTAATATGGAAAAACGTTCAGAAAAACTGAATATTAGTGAAACGTACAACACGCTCAAGTGAAGAATATTGTGCTTTCAATTAAATCTCATCTTCAGGCACAACTCTAATATTATACCTACATAACTTTACAAACAAATATTCAAATATAAACCAATCACGGTGTTTTGTAAATAGGATAAGCTAAGATTGAGGATATCGGTTGTGCAATTAGTCATAATGACAAGAATGAAAAAAGTGAGGCGATCTGTGATAACAAGAATAACGAAAAACAGTCTGACTAGTCAAACAAATGTTCAGGTAGACATATGAATCCATTAAGGCCAAGAGAAATAAATGAACCGATTAAGCAATGCTATATTGTAAAGGAAATTAATAAAATAGGTCTTAATGAAGATGTCATTAGATAAAGGGATGATAAGAGAGGGGTTGGAAATATAAGGTAAGGGGTGGTAGTGGTGGTGATGTCATAAGTCGATTAGGTCTTAATAGGCCAACACATGAGGGATAATGTCTGTACAAACTTCTTTTGAATGAGCAAAGTTTAGGCTTAATAGTTGGACTGCCTATCACCTTAGCTATGTGCACTATACGACCCAATGAAACAAAATAATATAATTTACAAATTACCCTGCGATGACTGTGAGGTCAACTATATACGTCAAACTAGTAGATCGGGAGCAATTCGATTGTCGGTACATAAGAATTTAGCTAAGGTAAGAATGGTTGACACCATGAAGATAAGTAATTTAGAAAAAAGCTCAGCAATTGCAATGCATGCATTAACACACAACCACACAATAGCATGGTGGGAGAGGGTTAAAATTCTAAAAAGTAATCTAGATAGGTGGAGAGCGAGAGAGGTTGATTACTGAGTCCTGGTTCATTGACTCTAAACGAAACACATGCAAGAGAAATGGCTGGATGCGGATACCAGAAATATGGAAGATATTATCACCACCAGTCAGTCAGTCAAATGAGAAGAGAATAACAAATAATCTCAAAATTCTATTTCAATTCAAGCACGTCACAACATTCTAACAAGTTACTTATTATGACTATTAAAAAGACACTCGTCTAATTTCTCATCTGATTGTATTTGATCAATAACACCCATATTAGTATTATTTCTGAATGTACATTATGCCATATTGATTTTTATTCAGATATCTAGTCAGTTCCACACATGTATATAAATGACGCAAAAAGTTGTGTGAGTGAGTAAGTACCTTGATATGATTATGAATGGCAGTAGTTTCTTCTTGAAACGTGGTCATCAGTTAATATTACTAAATAACAACATTGTGTGATTTATCAAAATCTTATCCACGATAGAGTTAGACGAATACGAGGTCTATTGGAGAGATTTGGTCGGATAGGATGAACGGTCACCTTGAGCGCCTTCGTTTTCTCCACTACAATGACCACTGTCAACCACATGTGACAAAATGGAGCTATGGATCGTTTTTTTTTCTGTCCTTTGCCAAACCACAGTGGGAGATCGCCACTAACACGTTGGCTAAGCTGTCTAGTAGTACACCCAACATAACTGCCACCGTAGGTGCAGTTGAGTTGACAGGTGTACACAGATGTGGCAAAACTATCTAGCTCATTCTTCCTTCATGTCCCAAACATTTGTCGACTAGAGAATGACGAGCATAGGTTTACTGCGTAAACAGTTCTTCGTATGCTCCCTGGAAGTCTCTGGAACAAAACCTCACTTAACAAGTCATCATTAAATTGTAATTAAACAAACATAAATTTTTCCCCTGCAATCATAGTCTCAGAATGGTCCCCTCTACAATGTTTTCATATGTTTCTTTATGAAACTAATCAAATAGCCAGCCATTCTCCATCGAGGAATCATGAATATATTCCACCCGAATCCCCAAGATCTAACTTAGCAATGCACCTTACAGTTTTCGAGAGGCTTCCTATGACTTTATATATATATATATAAGTTCAGATGAATTCTCCTCACCTACTGAGGGGTTAGCGCTATATATGTATGTTCGTTTATAGCACTCCTTATTGATCCACTGAAGCATTTTCGTAGCCAAGCTCAATAATGTTCTCTGACTTTTTTAAATGAAACACGCATCGAATGACCCATACACATCGACTGACGACATTATGTGAATTGGTAGATACACACAGAGAAGTGATCAAATGCTATAGTTTATGTTTACAGTCGCTGAAGAACATTATTAGGCATGAGAATACCAGTCATTATGTGACAGCAGAGAACTTCTTTTTCAAGGGATTGGATATTTTCTTCTTTAAGAAGATATCGACCAGAAGGTCGCCTATGAACGCGCATAGTATCTTCTTCGGGATGTAGAAAACATAGGCACTGTGGTGGTTGTGGTCGTGGTAGTACGTAATTCCATAGAAACTAGTTTATTAGGAACGCCACACACACACACAGAGTGAAACAGTATTATTAATTAATAAATGGATGACAAAGTTTAGAACACAATTTATTATTGTTCATAATTACATCGTCAATTGTAACCACTCAAATTCTTTGATAATCGTCATCGTAAGATACTCAGTAGTCCTTTTATACAAAGAAGGAACCTCGGAAATTTTACAGTGGAGAATTCTTAACAATGCAAGAAGGAATAAAAGTGGCTGGAATTCAGACCACCCTCAAACTCAATTAGAAACAAGCCTTGCCAATTAAAGGATCATTCCTATGAAGCCAATCAAACAAAACAATCTAGTTTATCTGATACCCTGCTGGAATGATTGTGTGTCGGACCGAATAATGCATAGGTGAGAGTAGTAGAACGGGGTGAGACAATCAGTCAGTCAGTCAGTCAGTCAGCCTGTCAGACTAGTGGAGCAGTACAAGAACCTAGTAAAATGTAGATTAGTTGGCTGTTGACCCTTATGACATAAGAGATGTGGAGAACTGTTCAGCTGCATGCATGCAACTGCATGCAACTACACTCAACCACACAATGTAAGTTGATGGGATGAGATGACAGTTTTAAAACCCATTATAACGGGGTATGAGGTGGGAGAGATTGATAACTGACTGAATCGAATCATGTGCAGACACGTGTAATAGGAATGATTCAACACTCATCCTTCCAGATATTTAAAAAATTCTACTACCACCCCCAACCTACAACATGACAACGAATAGGAGAGAATAAAGAAAACGATAAAAAAACGATAATTGCTGATATGAGTATAAAACAATAAATGAGTTGTGTTCGAAACTTTGTCATCCAGTGCTCAGTAATACTATTTCACTCATTGTGTGTGATATCTCTAATAAACAAATTAAATATGGACTGTTCTTTTTTTAGTTTTCGCCTTTAGGTGTTTATTCTGTAAACCACACTATTATTATATTTCAGTTATTCACCTATTCAATGAAGCAGTACACCTGATTTTTATTCTATCATGTCTTTCAGTGAATCACTTTTTATACAATTTTCTGCTTCTCTCCTTCTTCCACGCCACAATCCTCTCGTGTCGTCAGTGCCACCACCACCCTTGGATATTCAAGCTTCACGAATTAATCAACATCAAATAAAAGTCACTTGGCGAATACCAACACGTGAAGATCACTCAGGCACAGGTGGTAAACAAATGTCTATTCAAGGCTTTCGATTATTGTACTCAGCAAATAATAATCCATATGAAGCTGGTCAATGGACATCGTTTGATGTTGGCCCAGTTAACATGGCTATCATCAGTCATTTGGAGAGTAAAACAAGTTATGTGATATGCATTAAATCTCGTGGCCCAGATGGACGTTACGGGGATTGTAGTCAACCAGTGATAAGTCGTTTAGCGACTGGTAATAGTGAAAGTGACTTTTCAGTACGTGGTCTGTTCTGTTCTGGTGATGATACAAGTGTTAAAGTTACCTGGCAACAACCGAAAAGAACGGAAAAATTAGAAGGATTTAAGGTAAGAGTGAAAGTTATTTGCATTCACGTTTTTTTTCTGTTTTTAATTTTGTTTAAGTCAATGTGTTAAATCTGGTCAAGCAATTTGTTCACTAAATAATAGTAAGTGACTGACTAATTGACTGTGATTTCAGAAGTGCGATTCCTCTTACTTTCAAAATCCGTGCAGGACAAAAAGGTGAAGTTTTAGCGGAGAAAGAACAAACACTGGTGGAGAATAACATGGATCCATTTTATGTTTCGTTGCTTCTCATCATCTGCACACAATCTATTACTATTATTATTGTTCCCTTGGATTTCTAGTGGAACATAGGGCTTCAACTGCACGTCTCCACCTGCTTCTGTCTTCTCCTGTACTCTTCGCCTGCATCCATCTTAGTCCATACTCTTTCAACTCCCCTTCACACCATCTCCTCCATCTCACCCTTGCACTGACGACCCACTTGCCGCGTGCTTCCCATTCTGTCGGGTTCCACTCAAGCGATGGCCTGAGGCGCGCGCGCGATGTCACCCAGCGGCGGCCTCATCAGCGAGCCAGTGTCCAATCCATCTCAATCCACTTCCTACTGCATATTTGCTGTTGTTGGGCGATTGCTTCTTGTTTTGTTTGTTTGATTGTTTGTTCCCACAGTTTCTTGTTGTTGGTGATTCTTCCCCGCCCCCAGTATAGATCCAGCGAAGACAGGTAGGTAGTTGTTGATAAAGGTAACGTCTGAAACAGGCTGCTGGTGGAAATATTCTTTGTGACCTACCCGCCAACCTTCTGATCCCTTCTATGCAGAAGAACTGACTGACTTGACGTGTTTGTATTGAAAATCCGACCGACGGAATTTTGTTGTTGATGTTGGCTGAATGACGAAGATGGGTTTCCAGATTGGTTGTTTCAGGTTGATGAGTGAATGTGTTTCTCGCCGCCCTCCTCGATTCTCGCTCGATTTGACATCGTCGTCCGTTCCGAATTCCTGTAGTTGAGACAATGCTCCTTCCCTAGATAAGTGAATGAATGAAGTAACCTCTTTCAAATCCCTCCCGTTGATGGTGATTGGCGCCGGATGTTTCTGTTGCTGTTGTTGTTGTTGTTGTTGTTGGTTGATTGGTTGGTTGGTTGGTTATTTTCATAACCTGCATCTTGTTCACCTATGTTCACCTGGAGTCCTGTCTTCGCCGGCTGCTTCTTCGACCAGTTTGTCGGTTTTCGCTTGTAAGTCTATAACCTTCGATAAATAAACGTCAGAGTAAAATTTAACATACTACTTGTCATCAACAAGCATATTATAAGATTGTCATGGTGAGGTAGAACATCAGGACGACATCGTAGCTGAAGTGGGCTGGTAACAAAGATTAGTAACAGTTTCAAAGTTAGATAAGAGAAGAACAAAATTTAGTGTGCAAGAGGTCAGATGAAAAGATGATAATGATGATGGTGCAATATGGTGAGTAGAACTCAAAAGGTGAAGATTAATTATCTCTTATGGAATTCAAACAGAAAAAAAGGTGAGGGTGCCTGCAGCGTTGAAAGATAATTCAATGAAGTTAGAAGATCAAGATTTATTCACGGACGAGTCGCCAGGGTAATTGGGGTCCAACGACAGATTTTTTTAGGACGCATAGGTCAAGTTTCAGACTTTTTATTGAGACAGCCTCGGCAAACCGAAGCAGATATGAGCTATTTTGTCTGTTAATTACTGTGCAAGATATCTGCGCGTCTACTTGGTGTCCAGTAAATATCGGGTATTTGGTATTTGAAGAGTGTAAACTGCTTGCTTCCTTCAACCAGAAGTTGCTTGGTGCTCAAAGAATCTGATGTAGGTCCCTCTTTCTGTTCTTCCAATGTAACTGCTCTAACAGGTGCATGTGAATTGGTGTACACTGTTGGAGGTAATATATGAGGAGTACTTGCCGATCTCTGATTACACTGACGATTAAGGTTCTCATAGTATCATGTCTTTTGAAGTCAAGTTTGATGAAGAACGGCTTCTTGCTCACCGTAGCCGCATCTCAGGTTTCTTACGTTCACTCTTGACACATCTGTCAATGAAGCTAGCTTTGTGGATAAAATCATTTTCTTTCAAACAATTCTCAAGCAGTAATAACTCACTGTCTAATTTGTCAGGTGAACATAGTCTTTCCTCTCTGGAGAAAACCATTTTCACCAGCGTTCGTTCGTAACTGACTGGATAGAAGCTGTTGCAGTTTAGACGGAGACTGTTGTCCATTTTTTCTTTACTATATATATATCAATTTCTCCAGTGTTCCATCTGTTTTCCTCTCCAAGGTGATATCCAGAAAGTAGAACTTAACAACGTCTACAAGCTTCATTATGAAATTGATACTCTTATGTACAATTGTCGAATAAGCCCAACAGAGACGAAGCATGACTCATATCATGACATACAATCAATTTGTTATCTATGCATCTGTGGTAGGCTGTTGTTTCATCACTTGTACACTTGAGTTTCGCCTGTTCTAGATTGGCCATAAAAATATTCAGCTAATACAGGACCAAGTGGACTTCTCATCGCCACTCCATCAACCTGACGATACATTTTATCATCGAACCGCAAAATGTATATCCTTGGTACATTAATATGAGAAGCTGCTTAAATTCTAGTCTTGACAGAGGAAGCAAAATATAAGCACATAGTGACAGATAATGTCTAATATCTCATGCATTGGAATCTATGTGAATAAAGAATTCACATAGAATGAAACCATCAGTTCAGCATATACGTTAAGTCGACTCAATTCTTCAACGAAATGGAATGAATTTAACGGGTTCCAAATTGTCGGCTAACCAACGAGCAACTTCGTGTAAACGATGAATTCATCACTGACAGTATAGGTCTCATTGGGCGATTCTTTTGATACATTTTGGGTGGACCATACATGTATGGCAGACGAGACCCCTAAGGCTTTACTTCATCTGTATGTGTGTGGTTATCAATCATTTTTTAAATTTTTTAGCAGCACTCTAAGTGCTTTTGTGACTTTTTTTGCTGTCAAGTTTGTCATATCCTTCGTTTAGTTATCAATCTTGAATTCCAAGGTGTCGTTTGGAATGGATTCCATATTTTCTTTTTGATACAGTCAGCTCTGTTCATCAGAAAGTTGTGCGTATAGCAGAGGTCACGTTAGGAGCTGGTGGAGATAACAGCATATTGGAAGTCGTGGGGTCAGCTAGAAAGAAATTTTTTGATCACAGCTTGATTCCACACCGTATTTTTGGTACAAGTATGAAATTTTCAACATGTGATATCGGTAGATCAAATTTTACAGGCCGGGGGGGGGGGTCGAACCCCGGACCATGTGCATGGTCGTCGAGAGTCCTAGCCGCTGTGCCACCGAGAACAGAAAGAAATCATGTTCTTTTGAAATCAAGTGATCCACTCGGAACCCAAGAGAATAATAATAATGATAAATAAATAATTTGAATAAAGCAGGAACAACGGTGGAGGTTTGTACAGAATAAGAAGATGGTATGGCATCGAGGTTTATTTCGTTCGTTGAATTCTCATCAACTTAGCTGAGCACAGCCTAAATAAATTATTATTATTAAGTTTATGTACAGAAAAGTTTCAACATACTTGAAAATTTTACAGGATGTCAGTTAGTGGCAGGAGGTTCCAGACTTAGTGAACACTGCTCAGAAAATTACACTTGTATAGTTTTTACACAGGGAGTTCAAGTTCAGACAAACAAAGTCAATGCATGCATACAATGGTTAAGGAGTTACTTGATAAAGACGAGAGGTGCGTGAGATGATGGATGGGTAAATGATAAACTGTGTGACAATTCACTGAGTTCAACTCAAGTCACAGAAACAAGAGACAAGCAAAATTACATCAAGGGGGTGGGGTTAGATTAAAGCGAAGGATTATGTAATCAAATTAGAGAAAGAGACAGTGAAGAAATCCAGTTACCATGGAACAGATCAAGGAAATACTGATGATAACTGCTTCTTTCTGAACACACAAATTAGGTTTCAGGCGTTTGATGGTCATCGTTTACGCAAACTTGAGGAGAAATGAACCCTTTTGTCTATTGATAATTTTAAAGGATTTCGTGGGCTGGAATGGCCGAGTGGTTAAGACGGTGGACTTAGGATCCCCTGGGGTGTATCCCTGCGCGGGTACGAACCCCACTTCAAGCAGGCGACTTTGTGTGTCGGTGTCATAGTGGTTAGGACACTCGTCGACCATGCACATGGTCCGACGTTCGATCGCCGACCGACACACTCCTTTACCTCGCTAAGCCAGTAGTAAGATTGGTAAAGAGGGAAGGTTGGACATGAGGCCAGCAACTACATCTGATAAAAACAAACACCACTGCTACTGAAATTTCAAGTCAGTAGCTTGAAGGTGCCCTGTGTTCCACTGGGAACATGAAGGAAAGAAAAAAAGGATTTCTTGGTTTCCTCCTGACCCATATCAAGGAGATGCCTGGTAATGGCGCCACTGTAAGCGTTCGTCGCCACTGGAGACGTAGGCTTTTTGGTACAAGTTCAGAAAATCGGAGGTGTGCCCTCCTTCTCTCTGTTCACACAATGTAACTTCTCCCACGGACACATGCCCACAAATTTGTATACACAATTGGAGTTGCTAACATTAGAGAGGTGGATATCTCTCGGTTGATGGTGGCACCAAACAGCATTTCTCTCGATAGCTCAATTCTCCTGTCACTAACTGACATTATGTAAAATTTGCAAGTATGATGAAACTATTCTGTACATAAAATTATTAATAATAGTAATTTATTTAGGCTATGCTCAGCTGAGTTGATGCGAATTCAACGAAAGAAATAAACAACGATGCTGTACCATCTTCTTATTCTGCACAAACCTCCACTGTTGTTCTTACCTTATTCAAATACAGCAGGGGGGGAGGGGAGGGAATAAATGTCCGAGATAAAAATAATTATATATGAAAGCACACTTGCATATTTGAAGCCACTAATCTGAATAAAGCAGCAGTTCTATTCATTATCACTTAACTCAGAACGGAT